CTTGCAGCCAAGTCACGATGTACCAGATTAAACGATGCCAGATGCTCCATGCCCATCGCCACCTGACGTGCGTAGCACATGAGACGATACGTCAGCTCTTCTGATGCAGTGACGAGGGACGCTTCCTGTAATACTTCCATGCCATCGTTGCTTGATATATTCGAACGACCGTATCCGCTGTCTGTGGAGGCAACCGACGGACCTATACCGTGCTGAAATTTTTATACAGTAAAGAAAACGAATTTTTAAGCCCATTGTTGTCACACTTTGTCTTTCGTGTTCAGCAAGAACTGCTTCAGGTTTCCTTCGCTGCAATACTCCATGATTAAAGCGATCGAGTGCGAACGACGGCAATATCCAAGGTATCGAACAACGTGATCATGCGGAGGGATATGACTCATTAGCTCGATCTCTTTGTTCAAATGTTTCTCAGCTTCAGCAGTCACAAAATCTGTTAATTAATTAATTAAATATTAGTTCACAGATCATTACAGAACTGAAAAATATACCAGATTTTAAGGTCTTCACTGCCACGGTAGCGGGAAAACCGGGATATCTGCAGGTTGCTTTGTAAACACAGCCGAACGCCCCCTCGCCAAGAACGTTCGCAATATTCAAAGACTCCCACAGGTCGCAAACGGTGCTGCTCTTTTGAGTGATGTTGTTCCTCACGTTCCTGAGGATCTCTATCTTTGAGACGGAATGTGCAATAAGCGAACGAGGCCGGTACAGCGGATTTTTTGGAATCCAGTTCTAGGGGTATTAACGTTACATAACAACAACAATAAAATGACAACGTAACTGTAAATAAAACAAGCACAGTTTTTTTTGTGTTCCAGGTTTCGTAATGCGAAGTTTCTGTCAGGTATGCACAGTTTATTACTCAGTAAGATTTTACATGAGAAATAACAATCTCCGGAATACCAGCCTCAGCGTCCAAGTTATGAAGATCAGGCAAAGACCAAACTAAGGGATTCGATGTCAAACCAAAGTATGATTGCCTGTATTCTGTTTCGCACATACGGTAGCAACGTAAGGTCCTTACAAATCTTCGAAAGTATGAATTGAAAACGAGAGTAAAGGACTGCTAACTATTGTCACAATTAATCCCAGAAGAAAATACGTCAATAATGAATCTGTTCATTTCAACGTCAATCCTCTGAGCAACAAAAGGCAACGCTAGTGAAGATTTAAATGGATCTGAAGACACGAGGCATATAAATTGACAATTTAGAATCATCCATCTCTCAGGTTTCTTTTTAATATCACTATGATAACATATGCTTATACAGAATGATGCTTTAATTTACTGAAAATTTGATTATTTGAAACGCTAATACTGAAATGATACGGTGAAAACGCACCGCCACTGTGTGGGGGAAGGGGAGCATTTTAGTAGGTCATGGTGGCGTGGTACCTGAACTTTTGCCTGCATCGCATGCAACATCCAATCTCTGAAATGAACTGAACAGGGAAGTCTTTAAAACAAAATTTGCCACTAACAGTAGGTACACGTACATTCAAAATTTCCATTTTATGTGAAATTTGGAATTAAAGGAATCAATTTCATGCTTTAACAAAATTATGCTTATGTAAACGTGGTTTAATGTAGGTAACGCAAAACAGTATGTTGGTTGGGCAACAGGCCACTGCAGATATTTCTGCCCCTTGATTGGTTCATTTTTAACATGCGATTGATGAGTGTTGATTAATGTGCAGGGGTCAATTGCATTCAACCGTAAAGTAAGCTTTTCAGCGACAGGCGTGACAAGATTCATCCAGTTTATGCAGATTTCGTAAATGTTGTCAGGTTTTATATGTTTCAGGAGCGTATGATTAATGCTTCATGCATACCAAACGGTGTCTTGCAGTGATGATGTTCGTATACTACGGTCACTGAGGGAATGTCCTTCATGTATTGCACGCGCTTCACTATTCTCAAGCACTTTCCATACTGGAACATTAATTAATGGGGAAAAGGGTGGGGCAAAACGTGTCTTTCAAAGAAGCTTCATTTGAAAGTGCAGCTTGCGTCCGGCGGTAATAATTCCTGTTATCTTTCGAAAACACAGTTCCTCCTGTGTTCGATCTTAAGTTCTTCCCACGGGCCGTTTACTCTTTGTTGTAAACCAGTCTAATATATCTGGCTCAGCGATGATCGCTTTTTCTTGCAACATGTCCCGCCATTTCCACGTTTTCACTCAGACAATGATATCACAGACTTCTATTTGCTCTTACCGTTTCATTTTTCCTCCTATTTTTGTTTCACATGAAATGAATAGCTTTCATGCTTAGAGTCCATACTTCACATCCATAGGTTAGCACTGATGGCATACGCTGATCGAATACTTCGTTTTAACTACAAGGGACACTTTCCCAAAAAAATATTTTCATTCTTCCAAAAGTGCTCCATGCCATTTATATTTTCGGCTGATTTCGCAGAGTCGGTTCTCCATTGCAGAGAAGAGCCGTTATAGGCAGACGTAGTTTTGCATTTCATGTCCAACAATTAGCAGGATTAATTTACAAAGCAAAAAAAATCTATTTTAACTGTTAGCTCAATATTTTTGAGAAAAGGTCACTTTGAGGGAAGAAAATTTGTCTTTGGGTCAGATGGTAAAATCGACTTTGACATATTTTCTGGAGAAACTCAGAAAAAGCTCAGGATTCGTTTTTCAGGCCTGGCACTGATATTATTGTTCAAAATACTAATCACTGAAAAAGAAGCAGTTCAGCTGTGCCGTACAAAATATTATTAATTTTATACTAGAATTCAGTATGTCCTTCCAGTAGATAAATTAATAGTTTGCTGCTTCAGTATGACTGTGAACCCATGAACAATGGATTCTATCTTTATTATGCTTATACAAGAAAGAATTATGCTTATTAACAATTAGAAAATAGTAAACAAGAAAAAACCACTAACAGTGATAAATGTCGAATTTTCCTTTTCGAACGAGTGAGGTCGTTTTCTGGGTGGAGTTAGCTTTAAGATCACTAGCACGCCGCAAATTATTAAGCCGAAAATAATCGGTATGCTCAGCAGATAAACCGGCCGGAACGGAACTCCTGTATTAACGCATGCAAAGTTATACAACTCAGTTACTGATTGAGCATCCTTACCGTAATACACAGGCATATGATAAGGTGAAAGCGGCCATTGGAAATGGACTACAGCTAGTTTTCCGAAACCAGCTTTGGAAACCGCTGTCACTTCAGCAATGTAGAAACAACCTGGACTTAGATCGTTTATTTCGATTCTGGTCTCGTTCTAAAACAAATAGGTTAAGAGCCGTTTTTAAGAGAGTTTTCGTCAAGATTCTACTTGCAAAGAATTTCAAGGATATGAATTTGACAGTAACGCTACAGATCAAATTTTTCTGTTTAATACTGTTTATGCTTAGAAAAAAATATTTGTTCTATGAATTCAACTAAGTTTGAAGTTTCTGACTAAGGATGGTACTCTTATGGCGTATATTATCCTGATCCGTTGTTAAAAGCACTCAAGGAAAAACTAGATCATAAAAATTACTTATTGTTCATCATTCTATACAAGCAGTATTCAGTTCATGGAAGAATCAACGACGATATAAATCCTTTATTAGTTCAACACTGCGCCATAGCATCATTATCATGGTATTGAACTTGAATAAGTTCACAAATCGCAATTCAGCAGGTCTAACAGGCAACTCAAGAACATTTTAAACGACAAGATCAACCATTTCTATCTCAATATTCAATGAAACTGGCCTCAATATCACCGATATGCTCCTTATACAGTTGAAGTTAACAATAGTTAAGTTTAACTATCAACATTTGTCACAGTTATCGAATAAATGGCTAATACATCGATCAATGTCTGTCACATTTGTGAGTGACATTTGTAAGGAAAAGCATTCGAATTTTAAAACTTTCGTCTTTAGTATTATTTTAGAATTGCTCGTAGTGCAGACAGATGTCTGTAATAAACGAATCTGATATAAAGTAGGACGAACCGACAAATTATGCATAGCAAACTGAATTGAAAATTTCTAAGCTTATAGTTAACTATGGAAAATATCTCGGCACAACGGCTGCTGGCATCATCGCATGACACTCTTTTCAGACCCCGTTCCACTAAATATTTCATCACCGTCTTCTACAAATAAGGCGCCAAGGCTTAACTATATGTACATTATACGAAGGCTCAGTCTATATTTTTCAGCAGTCTGCCAACGGCCAATCTGATTACGGGTTTTTACGGTTTCTTCCAGGTCGTGCGCACAAGTTTGCTAATGAACTTCCAGATGTTGGCCGCTTCACCCGATGCTAGAGACAGTGACATTCACAAATTACTGAGCATGAGGTGATAAATTACAAGGTGGCACAGCCTTCATCGGCTTGAGTGACAAAGTCTACTCCAAATCTGTTATAGCGCGCCACACCCAAGTCTAACCGAGTTACCTGGTTCGGTCAGGTTGGCATAAAAATTAATTTTGTTCCATTTCTGCCCAAGTGAAAATTTAACAACGATACTACTACAGGCTGAACTACGCTTCCTAGCTCCGTTCAGCCACCGTTGTATGCATGAGTATCTCCGTCACAATCGCAGCTATTTGAAAAAATTAAATTTCTTGAACGATGTTTCATGAATAATTAACTGAACATAAATAATGTCCAGTATTTTTACCTTTTAATTAACGCTTACCGGGTGCAGCGTGATGTTTCCCTCCATGTGTTCCAAACAACGTCCCAAATGTGCAAGCGTCTTCCAGACGACGTGGTAATATCTGATGACGTTCGTCGCGCTGCTGTACTGAGGCTCATTCCAGTTGAGTACTGTGGTACCATTTCTTACCTGTGCTTTCAGGTCCCTCACTTTATTTGGAGCTGTAAACCAGTAAGTGAATAAAAATTCATAGAGCTGAGTGCCATCACTCACGGCAAAGGTCAAAGTTGTACCAGTTGGCGTTCAGACAACTAGCCGTTTCGAAGCGTATTCCTACCGATGACGATTCGATGCGAACGACATTTTTACTGGACACGGCCCTCATCTGCACCGTGTAATTTGCTTCATACTCGAGATCTTCAAGCAAATAAGCAAATTTTCCCTCCTGAAAAAATAGTTGCACTTGATTCTGCTTTTAATTAGATGCCATGTAATTTTGGTATATGTAACTTTCCGACTACCATAATGCCTGACAGCGTTATTTTATTTATAATGTTTTACGAGTAACCCTTTACATTATGCTTAGTCATGTTCACCGAGTGGATCAAAGCGAACTGAAGCCATTAACCACATGCACAGACTGCGTTGTCATAAACTGTTTGAGTTCTGGCATGACCAGACAGATAAATCAATCATTCTACCTCTATGACTCAGCGACCAATCATTATTAGCAGTCTCTCGCTATTAAAATAAATCTATACTGCATGAAAGGCGAGGAAGATCACGAACATATGTTCAACGCAAGATTGCTCATTTTACCTTGGGCAATGCAAGATTGATTCATTTTACTTTCAAGATTTTTGTAGGCCTTCTGAAACGTCAGCTTGGAAGCGATCTGGAACCAGGAACATCTGTAAGTCTCTGTTCTAGAGTATATGCAGTTCCTTTAGGAACAGATTGACTGTTACCAACAATAGCCTGGTGCAGCCGTTTTGTGGAAGGGTGAAGATTCATCTAGCAGCTTTGTATCAAAGCTGCTGATGGCAGCTAGGCTGTCGCCTTCCACGGTTGTGACGACCCGCTGGTACGGTATGCCTGTTGCTGTGACAAACTCTCATGAAAAACGACAGATCACAGTGCTGCAAAGAAAGTGTATCATAAGTTGTTACTAAGAGCTCTCTCATTCAAATCAATTAAGCACAGAGACGCGCCGTGCGTTCAGATTGGCATGGACACTCGACAAGGCAAGGTCGTAGGATGAGGTTGAGTTTTAGAGGATAAGCCTCCATAATAATACTTTGTGTTTTTAGGTTGTACTGGCTCACGCTAGAACGATAAGTGACAAACTGACAAAAACACTGGACAGCACTTATCAAGAAATTGAAAACCAGGCCTGGTAACTTGTTGGCTTGTGATTAAATCAGACACTGCGGATGGCAAAAAGCAACAGCGATAAGAAATGTGTGTGTTTGTGGGGGGTGTGCCGTCACTGCTTGCAACTTATGATAAGCAAAATCAAAATGACTGACTTTCAGTTAGCATTAGATTCAAGCTGACTGGTTTTAAGTCACTTTAAAAACTTACGATTGAAAAGGTTCTCGAAAAAGCTTTCTCGTCGTTTTGCCAAGACAGGTGATAGAAGCAGCTGGAATCTGAAAATAAAAAACAAATTAGCATAAATATTTAGTGAATCGCCATTGCAGTGCGTTTTCTCTACATTGTTGGTCGGGAATCCACTCGCAAAGCGCCTGTAGTCGTCCTTTACTGTCCAATTTCTGGCTTGATATCCAAAGAGATTCCGGAGGTGATAATGTTTCCGTGCCTATTCAGAAATTTGAAAAATTAACGAATAGGAATTTAAAAAAACAAGCTCTACAAGGAAAGAATGTAGGTATTTAAATACCATTTCTGGTTTTGGCGCCCAGATCATGCATCACGAATATATTCAATTTAGCTCAGTATTCTGCTATCAAATCTAAACATCTTAACGCCACAGCATTTAGAGTGAAGATAGAGGGTAGGTCAGCTTAAAAGTTTAATTCTTCAGTTCACCTTGTGTTAAAATTGATCGACTGTTACTCCTGGTCCTGTTGATAATGCAGGTGATGGCTGTCACAGATTTAGTCTAGAATTTGCAGATGTATTCATAAACCAAAATAACCCATCTTCGACGTAGAGAATTTATGTGTGGCCTGCATAAATTACCCCATAGTTAACCAGGAGCAAGGGAGCAGTGAAATACAACGTGAAATTTGGTCTTGGAGAAGTCATTCATTATTTGACATATACAGGCGTACGAACAGCTTATGATGCTTATAATGTACACAACAGAACATATCTTATTTACTGCTGTATTAGGGATAGGCTATAATGGAGCCAAAGCTGTGCAAATCTTGGTTCAAAAGTGTGCGACCCAAACAACACAGCGTAAATTATGTGGTATCATCAGACCAAAATATCCCGCTTCAGTTATTTTCTCAACATTTTAACTGCACAACCTTTTTAGTCATTCATAAATTAGCTGCCTGATAGCAGTCAACTTTGTAACTAATTTGCTGCTTATATATGACTGAGGGCTAAAAAAAACTAATGGTACAATTTTTATCACCCGTCCGTTTCGTTACCATAAGCATAATCTGGGCATAAAGATGCTAGTGAGCGAGAGCATGAAACCCCTCAGCGCTGAGTTCGAATCCAAAAAAATTTCTCAATAGCTAATTACTATTAACAAAGAATTCGCCGCACGTTACTTCGGTACAACTAGTTGCTGAATTACGAGCGGCACGTATAGAATGGCGTTTTGGCATAGTCATATCACTTTGGACGATAAGTATCGACTATGCTGTCCATCGCAAACGTCTCACGTGGCTGCATTTGGCCTTGATCCATTTGACAACTGCTTATTCGATGTGACACTCCAGGGAAAGTTTAAGTTTTATTGTTGTTTACCTGTGCGATAACTAAACGAGTTGGCAATCAAAGATTGATAATTGGTTTTCGTTCGTGTTACAATTCTAATAGCGCACCCACAATCGAAAACTTTAAGCCTT